CTCTTGAGTTTAGGTTACTGTGTCCTGCAAACACAGCTAGAGCGAGTAAGACAAGCAGTTCTACTCCACTCGCTCCCCAAAGATGAGCACGTCCTGCTTAGCAAAACAGTCTGATTTAAGTCTGCCCTAGCATTTGCCTACAGGACAGAGGTGGGGAACCCATAGACCTCTACCTCCTGCTGGATTCCAGTTCCCATCAGCCCCAGCCAGCAGGGTCAATGTTCAGCGACAATGACTAGCAACCCCAGAACAGGTCCTTCACCCGTTATACATGGGCCAACGCCTTCTTGTAACATGGGTTCAAGTTGGGAATCAGATGGTGGGAACTTCCAAGAACCAAGCCCTTTCTTTCCAAAGAGTCAGAGCCTGGATCCAACCCACAGTGCCTTTCCAGTAGCCATATAAAGGGTTCGGGTCCTTGAGTGGCTCTTCCCTTCATGACCTGGGCTAGCTAGACAGTGCCTGGCACACAGACACACGCCTCAGGTCTGACGCAGCGTAGGCACAGCGCCCTTTGTCTGGCTCACAGCCTGTCCACAGAAGGGGATCCCACGGCGTGATGGAACCTGCCCCCTCCACCCTTGGATTCCAGTTCCCATCAGCCCCAGCCAGATCAGAAAGGTGGGAGAAAAGAGCAGCAACGGTTTTGCAGTAGAAACTTTTAATCTCGACACTTTCGGTGAAGGTTAATGCACCCCCTTGATGTGCCTTCTCCTCGGCTACCTGGATGATAAATGGAGCCCACCAGGCTTCCTTAATCTACTGTGCTGGGTGGGGAGCAGCAGAAGAAAAGAATTTAAGTTTGCTTAACCGTAGGAAGTTATGGGTGCTTGAGTGCTCCTCACCCCATTGTAGAGATTAGTCACATACGAATACAGTCCAACACTGGCAAAGGGGGGTCTTCCATGGGACGGTGGGAGGGGAAGAGGTTCTCCCAAATCCGAACTAGCTTCTTGGGTATTTTATCTCCCCACATTTTGAAGGAGGGAGTAGGTAATGTGCAACTCCAGAATCCACCGTACGGCGGTAAGACAAATCTGACCACTTCACCGGCTGATCCACGGCAACGAGCCCGGGACCGCCCTGGCCACCGGCCTGCCTTTTCCGCCCACCCGAGGCCAGCCTCTCCCTGTCCTTTCAGGGTCAAGGGCCACATCGAGCCCCAAGTCCCACCCATGATCCCCTCTGCCCCCAAAATCTCAGATGCTGCAATGGAGGGAGATATTTGCAAGATCCCACTGTGCGCTGGCTGTCCGTATCGCGAGGACGTGGTCCTCCCACACCACGTGACTCAAAGCCCATGCTCTTTCATGGCGGGGGGTTCTCAGGAAGGTGCACTCAAGTGGGGCACAGGAAGGAGAGGTTCAGCTGCCCCCCCCCAGACTAAGAAGGAGCTGCTCAGTGGTGGCGCTGGAGCAGCAGAGGGGGGTGGCTGGCTGGCTGGCTGGCTGGCTGGCTGGCTGGCTGGCTGGCGGGAAAGGGCCGCTCTCCTGGCAAGAGCTCCCTTCGACAGCTGAGGAGGCGTAACTGACGTCCTGCTGGACGGGGCATCACGGCGTCAGCTACATCTAACTTGCGGAGGGATGCTGTGAAAGGCAGGGCTTCCGAGACGTGGTTAAAGCTCTTCATGCACGGTCCGCCCCGTCTCAAAGCTGCCACCGGAGGGGAACCGTCTTTCTCGAAGGCTCGGCTCTGCTTAGCATGAAGCAGCCAGAAAACGGACAAGAGATGCTGGAACGCAGTGGGCGCCCCCCATTACGGAGCAGCAGCTGGTTTGGGCCAGGGTGGCAGTCCCCTCGCCTCTGCAAGGTGAGGCGTTGCCCAGAGGTCCATGGGGCTGTTCGCTGGCCGCGGGTTTTGCCTAGTTCTGGCCTCGGCCAAGTTAATTGAAATGAAACTTGAAGTGAAAGTTCCCGGAGCCGAAGGGGTTGAACTCGAAGGGCCACTGATGCTGGTGTCCTGCCCCACCCTGCTGGTTCTCAGGGTCCAGTGGGTCTTCGCCGGAGTCGAACTTCTGGCGCATTTCTGCAGGAAGGGGGAAAAGAAGAACGGAATGTGATGAGGGGAGGGGGCGGACGCGGGCAAGAGGAATGGCGATACTTGTCCAGGCACGGCATGGAAAAGAAACTGGGAGACATCTATACCTCCCCTGCTTGTTCCTTATTAAGGTTTTAAAACTTGCTGCATCCATTTGGGGATATGTCTAAAACATTAATTATGCTTTTCTGTGCTAGGAGTAGGGGACTGCAGCCAAGAAATTAAAAGACGCTTGCTCCTGGGGAGGAAAGCTATAGCAAATCTAGACAGCATACTAAAAAGCAGAGACATCACCCTGCCGACAAAAGTTCATATAGTCAAGGCTATGGTTTTCCCAGTTGCAATGTATGGCTGTGAAAGCTGGACCATAAGGAAGGCTGAGCGCCGAAGGATTGAGGCCTTTGAATAGTGGTGCTGGAGGAGACTCCTGCAAGTCCCTTGGACTGCAAAATGATCAAACCAGTCAGTCCTAGAGGAGATCAACCCTGACTGCTCTTTAGAAGGCCAGATACTGAAGATGAAACTCAAATACTTTGGCCACCTAATGAGAAGGAAGGACTCCCAGCATCAGGGTCTTCTCCAGGGAGTCCT